ATAGCTTATGGAGTTCACTACAAGACATCTCCCCAAAGTTTTTAAATTCCATCCTTTCTTAATTTTTTGCCATCGATCTACAAATGGTCACTCCAGTGACCAAGGGGGGGTAAAGGGTTAAAACTAGCACCTCAAAAAAATCATATTCGCCTCCCCTCAGTGTGTTACTAAATGTGTAAATCTTCTAAACGTTCACTCAACGAAAAAAAAGTGAAAAAAAAACCATTGCCATATGGTAGATTTGAACAATCAATTGATGAATCTGAGGCACTTCCAGCACAGATAGTTTAGACAACTATACTATATCATTGGTCTCAGTGTGTAGAACCAGATGGGCACTTCTCAGTTTGTACTTTACACACTTACACCGTGCATTGTAGACAGCCACTGGGAGTCGACTTGGCGTTCAATTTATGTCTGTCATTTACACACTTTATCTTTTACAATGTGTTTTGACTGATAGGAAAATGTCTTATCATTAATCCGTTATTTTCCATCTGGAAGTAATTCTGTATTAAGTCATCATATATTAAATTATTCCAATTGGTTTTTCTTACGTTAAACATACAATGAGAAAAGTTCCGATTGCAATTTTATGTATATTTAACATAAGAAAAATCCATTGTAACTTGATATATGATTACTCAATATACCTAATTTCTTCTAACTTGTGAAACTAATCTCTTTGCCTATATATAGAATGATACACGGAGCAATTTTTGCTCACACACTTATTTTCAAAATAATTCACTTTCAGCTATTCTCAATCATGTTCAAAACGATTATTCTATTTCATTTTTTTTTCATTAGTCTTTTACCATTAAGTTTCAGTATTCGATGTATATGTAAATGCAATGATCATGTACAATTTCAAGCTGCAATTGTACGAGAGCCCCCATACACTGAATGTGTTCAGGACTCGGAATGTAAACCATATTGTTGGAATGCTATTCCATTCAGTTGTGCAGTGACAAGTGAATGTGACAGGTCACCGCGACCACCAACAAGATCAACTCCATCATTGTCTGCATCATCGATTACATCACCCAATGGAGTGGCAACAACAACACAACCACCTGCAATAATGGTCAAATGGGAAGGCACATTCTTAGTTGACAAAAACAGTTGCAACTCTCAACAATGTTGTTGTCCAACTAACCGAATTGAAATTAAATCGATTAGTGAAAAGCCATTTTTCCTATTAGTTAAAACAGAATTGATTGGGGGTGAAGAAAACTGTGGCTTTAATTCAGATGGTCTAGATGTTACTGTTCCATTACCACTCCAAGGTAGTGATTCCTTTACTGTACCATTTCAAAGTACAAATATCGAATTTCGCATGAATGACGATACAATTCATACTACCTATCTGACCAACAGTTGGACAAAATGTTGTGCGAAAGCTTTACGGACATCAGCATCGTCCCGAAATATAGGACACATGTCAATGATATTAAATTTGTTGTTTCTGACAATTTTTTACAAAGCTAATAGTTCCTTTTCTCAATACTTCAAATATGAATTAATAGAAGTTTTGATTAATTGAGCTGAGTGCAACAAATGATAAGCGGGTTATTTGTGATGATGTATACACTGTACTGGGATAAATCATGTAAGACTATTGGGTTGTTGAACAATTGTATACATTTAAATAAACGCAGCTAACGTTTCGTTTAACAGCAGCTACAATACATTGAACACTGACAAATGCGAAAAGATCCCTTTATTTGTTTGCTTAATCCAATTCTGTAAGCACGGATTTATAAAAAAAAAAATACTTTCATTGTTTTCAGAATATCTAAAGCACGTTTCGAAATCACGGTATTCTCTATAATGCTTGCTCAACATTCGTTGCATTTGATGCTGATGTTTTCATGTACTGAATGTTTCTTTCCGATGCATAATTTTGGGCTTCTTCTGACATCACTTCTCACATATGGTGTTGATCACATTTATTTCCTACTAGGAGTGTACAACAGTTAGCGCCAGCATTTTCACAAATTTCATTATACCATCGATCAAGATGTTTAAATGTCTGTGAACGTTGTATATCGAAGACAAGAAGGGCACCAGAAGCATTTCGATAATATGGTTTTGTAATCGCCATGAAACGTTCTTGACCAGCTTCAACAAAAGAAAATTCCAGTTTAGAAATATGATGTTTAAACTTAAAAGTTTTATTTAATTTTAATGGTCAATAACAGCTGTAAATCATTCTTTATCAACTGTAATTGTGAATTTAAAAAGTTTTACACATTCACTTTTACATACTATCGAGTTCTTGTTCAACTACATTTAAAAGACATCTCGAAAATTTCAACTTCAAATGTAACCTTTGATAGTTGTGAAAACGGTTTATACTATAATTCGTCATTTTTGCTGAGAAATTCTATCATATACTGTTCGGTCGGGTACCATGCGGATATTTTTGAATGATTTAACAGTATGATACTCGTCCATTATATGGCAAATTCTTCAATCTCTAAGAGTTGTAAACGATTCGGCTATGTTTGATGTAAGTGCAAAAATTGTCTATGAAATCATTTATGAATTAAGATGGTCGAAATGTTTAGCTGGAAGTTAAAATTTCTTATGAAATCAAACACGTGGTGACACTTTGCAGTCCTAACGGAGTCGTATGTGGGATAAAAATATCTCGAAAAGTTTATGATTTTCGATGGATTAATGCTTAGTGTTTGAGATTAGCTATCAACGAAGAGCTTCCTATAATATATCTGGCAACGGTTTGTCATTATTCAAAAGCACATCAAAGAAACTTCAATTTGGTATATGAAATAAGTGTGCACAAAACACAAAAATCATAGCAAAAAAGTATACATTGAAGGATAATATTGAGCCATTGCACAACTTCGATCATTATGCATAATATAGGAAACAATAGCGAAGTTGGTTTTTGCAGTTTTTCTGCAAAGATCAAGTTCGTATGTTCGATCCTAACTTTGTGCAAGGACTGATTTCCTGTTTTGATAATTTGAGTTTCGAAGGATATAATGGGAATTTATGTTCTCAGTTTCGTTCTAGTTCAAGATTAAAGCTTAACCAACTCTAGAAGCAGGTCAAAATTTATTAAGAAAAGTTTTTAGATAATAAGCTGATTTCATTAGAAAATCCATAGTTTTCTATAGTGATAGGCCGTCGTGTAGTCGTTAAACATGAGTACTGATTGATAGATAACATTTAAAGGAAGGAAAGGAATAAAAATTACGGTATCGCTATAGTCGTTTATTACTTGCATGGCATTTCGCTATATTCGAATATAATTTTGCCTGTTCTGTGCCGTACGTCTAAATTTAGAGTTCACATACTAGATAACTAACGGAAAGGAAAGAAAACGAAATGTTACGTAAGAAACGGGAAAAGCAAAATGGCAGTTTAACGTCTAAACGAAATATGGAATTCATAACGTAAGAAACAACTTAATGTTAAGTATTATAGGACAAATGATTACGCTAAAAAAATGAAACGAACAGAAAGAAAATACATCGTCTTGTCCATAGTAGTGTGCTATCATGCCTAGCTGAGAATGACTCACTTACGTTATCTCGTTAAGGATGATTCACTTACGTTAAGAATTTCGCGTCATATACGTAACTCCTTCGTTCCGTACGGTAAGAAAAGCATTTTCCTTAACGTCGCACGTTATGTTTTCTCTTTCTTTTAATTTTATCGTCATTCGTGACCTATACTATACATGTATAGGTGACGAGAGACGAAAGAATAGATACTAGAAAATTAACGCTTCTTGCGTCTTACGCCCCATCACTAGTTTTCTATGCACTTTTCGACTATCATTTTTAATTTGTAGTATGTGTGCTAAATTTACGATTTTGAGATCGTAGAAATAGCGTAGAGTCTTTATTTGAAAGCTGAACGTTGGATAAGTAATGGATTTCGAGTGACTTTTAATGCTCACAATACGAAGAATTAAGTCTAATTGACTTCTCGCTGTGTATCATGTAGGGGGAGCCGCTTGCAATTTTCTTGCGGTAAAATTCGACTGTGCATCATGCATAGATTAAAAGTAAGTGGTTGACGATGTATTTAACAGTTAAAATATATCACTTTTCTTTTAAATTTGATGTATTAAAATGTATTTTTCTATCAGTTGTTGGTGTACTAGGTAATTGATTTTATGTGAACATTTTTTGGTAGTTTGTGAAAAATTGGCAGAAAGCGGAATGAAAAAGACTGAAGAGATTTTTTTAATGTTCTCACTTAAACATAAGTACCAGATTGATTGTAGGCATCTTACTTTTCTCTACATGACAAAAAGAACAATGACAAATTCTATTACGAAAAATAATAATAATAACACTGTTTAAACCATTCATGTACATGGCCGACCAAAAATTTAATAAGTAGAAAGACAATTTTTCTAAACAACAAAGTTACCAAGAGAACATTTTTTCAATCGTTTTCGTTGGTAAGTCATCAAAAATTATTTTTGATCAGAAAAGAAGTTACACTGAGAGATGCTAAACGTTGAAGTGAAGTTCTTCAAATAAATATTGCTCAAGTAAAAGTTTAACTGAAAATAGGTGCTATGTCGAAAAGTACTTTAGCAATTAAGTATTATTTACCGTTCTTTTAACCCAATAAAGTAACTGGCTGATCCACGTTCAGTTTTTGTCACATGAGATGAAAGCAAGTGAACAGATAGAACAACATCTCTAAGCGACTGAACACTCGAGTCACGTTCTGAAAATTCAAGGCTTAAAAGCAAGAAAGGCAATTGGAACGATTCTACTACTTGATTCCGCGTAATGAAACAAAATAAACGAATTGCACTGTCCATCCAAAAAAAAACAGAGCACATGGCAATTTTTGAAACAACTTTCAAAAGAAACCAAGAGAGCTGCGTTTTTCACCGTTCGAAAGAGGAAAATTGCATTAAGAATCTGAGTGTGTCTCAAAAACTTCTAGTAGGATTGTATTGACTTTTTTACTAATTGATAGCACCAAATGTCTTCTTCGGAATAGGACTTAAGTAAGATCTTGATTTCCAGTGGTCCGGATATGACACCGAGTTTTCTTTGAGTCCTGCGATTCCCACCTGATGAGTATTAGTAACCTCTCAAACGTTAATCATAGATAGTCGAATTACACTGAGTCTTCCGGCTATATTTTTCGAATTAGGAAGACCTCAAAATCAACCGAAAACTAAGTTTTTCGAAGATTAGGGGCTTCTGTTTTTACGTAATATTGAAAAATTCGTTATTCACTTAGAAAATACTAGAATGAGTTCAGAACTTCAGAATGTATAGTATTTACACTATTTTATATTCTGCGAACGGTACGAATCCTAGGACTCCAAGAAAACTCGATGTCATATCTGGACCACTGAAAACCAAGATCTTACTTGAGTCCCATTCCGAAGAGGACATTTAATACTATACAGTCAATAAAAAAAGCAATGTAATCCTACTAGAAGTTTTTGAGATACACTCAGGTTCTCAAATGATCTCACAGAAAACACATTTTAATATTTCTTGCTGGAAAAACTTTTGCTTATAGAAACATGTTCTCAGGTCTCCCCTTGTTCTCGACTTTTTATAGATTACAGTATAGTGCGGCGGCGTAGTGTACTCATGACAGCAATTTTTCATAATTATATCGTAAGAAAATCGTACCGAATGGCAAAAGCCGAAGCTCTCTAGGTTTCTTTTGAAAGTTATTCCAAAAATGGCCATGTGTCCTGTATTTTCGGATGGACAGCACCATCGAAGTTATTGAAGGTGTTAATGAACACGGACAGAGAGTGCGACTAGCATCTGGAACACATTATTTAAGCTTTACATTGGTGATATACGGTGAATCATAAATAGCGTGAAATGTCAAAGAACTACGGGACTGTAAAACTTGACATCGAAAAAGTGTGTGACAATGCCATCCACTTGTCTATGTTGTACATTGAGAAAAGTGGATGAATTTCCTTTGCTTATCAGTCAAAACCCTCTTTAGAGCCTGTCCACGCGTAACGGACTGACCATTTTCATAGATGGGCGAGTGCGAGTATATATACTCGTACTCGAGTACACTCGAGTACAAATTCCTCTTCGGAACCTTTTTTAACAAGTATTCTAAAAAATACTCGAGTACTTTTCCAAAAACTAGTGACCTTTTTTCCGCGATTTGTGTACCAAAAAATCGATAAGTTCGGAAAGTCTTTCGGATTCACCGGCTTCTTCAGAAAAAAAAAATACTCGAATACTATTCGAGTACTTTTTAGAAAATACTCTTACTCTGAAATCTGTGTACTCGTCCATCTCTGACCATTTTTAGATGTCCGTTACAGTTCTCTCGAAAACTGCGATAGATGAACGGTTAATTCGTGCGTCATTTTTTGCATCCTGATGAATAGCTCTTCCAATAAAAGAAATCAAGCGATTGGATTCTTTGTTAGTTTTTCAGAGCAAAAATAGAGGGCGTAACGGACTGACTAAAACTGGAAGCGATTATCGACTATTGAGGAAATATGCTCACTTGTCCACTCAACGGGAAGTCGAATGAAAAACATCTTGATAC